GCTACACAGTGAGTCAGTGATTATCTCTCTCCCTGTCTCTGTCTCTCCTAGATGCACACACAGGCCCCTCCCTGTCTTCCCTAGCTAGCAGCTGGTGCCTGCTTCCTGGGAGCTTTTTAGTTTATCTTAGACTTGAAAAGTTACAGAGAGTAGGCTATGAAACTGAACCCCTGTATTAGAAACAAATAAACTGGGGAACCTGGAGAGATGTCAATACTAAACACCAAGAAGATTGTACTTCCCTAAAGAACTTAACTGATGAAGACTTCATGGGGCAGTGAAAATGTGTTTACGAGCATAAGAATCATAATTTTGTGCCAAATTGGTGTGCCAGTCATTTTTGTCTTTTCTGGAGGCTGACACCCAACTTTGAAGGTCAAAAAATAGTCTACCTTGACGTTGATGCTCTGAGTTGACAGTGCTTATTTACTTGTTTGTTTGTTTTTAATATGTATGGGTGTTTTGCTTGTGTGTTAGTCTGTTCATTACATGTATGTCTGGTGCTCTTGGAGGTAAGAAGAAGGCATCAGATCCACTGGAACTGGAGTTACAGGTGGTTGTCACGGTGGGTGATGGGGATCGAACCTGGGGCTTCATGAATGTCAGACAAGCACTCTATAAATTGAGCTACACCCTCCCAGTGCTCTTATTATGAAGTAAGAGTCATTTTTTCTTACACTATCTGTAAAATGGGGGAAACTGCAAAGGTATGAGGCACAGAATAATCTCTGTCCTCTCATGTTGGTTTGGGTGAGGGCAGTGATACTTGCTTACAAGAGGAGATTGAGGGGCTGGAGAGATGACTCAGCAGTTGGGTGGTGGTGTAGCCTTTGATCCCAGCAATCAGGAGGCAAAAGCAGATCTCTGTGAGTTTGAGGCCAGTCTGGTCTATAGAGCGAGTTCCAGGACAGCCTCCAAAGCAATACAGAGAAACCCTGTCTCAAACAAACAAACAAACAAACAAGAGTGCTGGCTACTCTTTCAGAGGTCCTGAGTTCAATTCCCAGCACCTACATGGGCAGCTCACAACCATCTGTAACTCCAGTTCTAGAGTATCCTTTTATGGCCTCTGTGGGTTTCAGGCATGTGCATGCACAGATGCACGTTCAGGCAATATACCTATATACATCAAAATAATTAAAAAATAAAAGAGGAGACAGGGCTGAAGAGAAGGCTCAGCAGTTTATTGCTCTTCTGGAGGGCTCACCAATGTCTTGAAACTCCAGTCCCAGGAGATACTATGCTCTCTGGAGTCCCAGGACATGTGCCTGAACATGGTGCACATAAACTCACACAGGCACACATACATACATATACTTTTTTAATAATAAAAAGTAAAAGAGCTCATTACTGGTGGTGCTCCCCTTTAATCCCAGCACTTGGGAGGTAGAGACAGTTGTATCTCTGTGAGTTTGAGGCCAACCTTGTCTACAAAGTGAGTTCCAGGACAGCCAAGGCTGTTACACAAAGAAACCCTGTCTTGAAAAACCCAAACAAACAAATAAATAAATGAAAATACACTGAGGATTCTCTGACACTGCAAACTCAGCTGAGGTTGGAACCCAAACAAACAAATAAATAAATGAAAATACACTAAGGGTTCTCTGACACTGCAAACTCAGCTGAGATTGGCCTCTGAAAAGGTCTCCATACGGGAGTTGGTAAGATAATTCATTGGATAACAATTACACAACAGCACAATCCTAGAGACCTGAATTCTATCCAGAACCCATGTAAAGGTGGAAAGAGTCAGCTCCTTAGAGTTGTCTTCTGACTTCCTCACTTGCACTGTATCATGCAACCTCACGTGTGTAATAATAACTTTCTCTGTGATAACACAAACCATTTTCTAAAGAATTTTATAGAATAATATGAGAAAATCCCAACACAACAATGAGAAAGTCTTAAATGGTTTACAAGAATCATAAATGACTACCATGCATTTGAAGAAAAAAGTCTATCCTTAGCAGAAATCAGACATTCAATTAAAATAATAAAAATGGGCTAGAGATGTGGCTCAGTTGGTGGGGCCCCAGGAAGATGGAGGCTGGAGCACCAGAAGTTCAAAGTCATCCTGTCTACACTGGAAGTCCAACACCAGCTTGAGCTACAAGAGATCTTGTCTCTTAAAAAAAAAAAATATTAAGAGCCGGGTGTTGGTGGCTCACACCTTGTCCCAGCACTCAGGAGGCAGAAGCAGGCAGATATCTGTGAGTTCCAGGCCAGTCTGGTCTACAGATCGAGTTTCAGGACAGCCTCCAAAGCAATATAGAAAAACCCTGTCTCCAAAAAAAAAAAAAAAAAAAAAAAAAAAAAAATTAGGCCTGGAGAGATGGCTCAGCAGTTAAGAGCACTGGCTATTCTTCCAGAGGTCCTGAGTTCAATTCTCAACAACCACATGGTGGCTCACAGCCATCTATGATGAAGTCTGGTGCCCTCCTCTGGCCTGCAGGCATACATGCTGGCAGAAAACTGTACACATAATAAATAAATAAATCTTTAAAAAATATTAAAAATAGCTGGGTATGGAAATGTATACTTTTAGTGATGGCATTTGGGAAGCAGAGGCAGGAAGATCTCTGAATTTGAGGCCAGCCTGGTCTATAGAGCAAGTTCCTGGACAGCCAGGGCTACACAGAGAAACCCTGTCTCCATAAACATATATATATATATGAAAGTATTTTTTGTAAAGAAAAATCTAACTGGAATTAGATTAACCTTCTGTCTATAGCCATTAACCTTATAGATAATACAGGAGGAGAGAAACACTGAGTCGCTGAATGACAGCCAGGGAATTCCATCAACAAAATCTAAATGAGCCAAACTTTTCTCAACAACTGATTTCAACAACAATAACAACAAAAAAATGGATGGCAGGATGGAGAGAGAGATGACACAGTTAAAGAGACAGCAGACATGTTAATCAGACATGCAACCTTTGCTTGTAGCAAACAAACTAAATGTAAAAACAAAACAAAAAGCAAATTACAGTTAAGATACTTGAACTTCATGAATGTTTTAAACAAGGAATTATTGTTATTATTATCTATGGCATTGCAGTCCTGTTTATAGATAAAATGTAAGATGCTGAGCTCCACACTCTAATGACAGGAAGGAGAGATGCTTTAAAAGTTAGGAACACCGACTGCTCTTCCAGAGGACCTGAGCTCAGTTCCCAGCACCCACATGGCAGCTCTCAACTGTCTGTAACTCCAAGATTTGACACCCTTACACAAACATACATTCAGGCGAAACAACCGATTCACGTAAAATAAAAATAAAGTTAAAAATTAAAAGAAGTAAATGTTTTACAAGGAAGAGCTACCTAAACTCACACAAAAAGAAAACATGCCAGTGGGAGAGAGGCTTGCTCAGAAGAAAAGTTTCAGTGAGCAGAGGAAGAGAGAGGAGGGGGTTCAGATACAGGTGTGACAATGACAATTTCATCTTATGTATGAAACTGTGAAACTATTAAAAACTTGAAAAAAGAAATACAGTATTTTGAATTTCCTTGGTTAAGGGATGCCACGCTCACACCTTTAATCCTGGCACTCAGGAGTCAGAGACAGGTGGATCTCTGTGAGTTCCAGGCCAGCCTGGTCTATAGATCGAGTTCCAGGACAGGCTCCAAAGCTACAGAGAATCCATGTCTCAAAAAAATCGAAATAAAATAACCCAGGGATGACAGCGGAGGTGAGATTACAAATGAAACAAAGTTAATTAATTAACAATTATAGTATATATTATAGTAATCTATTTTTTATGCTGTCACTTTGAATCCAATTTTTTTTTTATCCAAACATTTTCATAGTCAAAAGTCATGGAAAAGCTGTGCCCCACAGTATGTACAAGGAAGGCATTGAAAATATCTTCAGAAAGTTAAGAGATGGTGTTGTGTCTGAAGTTTGAAAGGTGATAAGTGACAACTTGGGAAACTACATTGGTACAGCTACACCATCCCTCAAATCTGTTGGAAAGAAAATGCCTGTGGGAAAGGAAAGCAATGTTTAAAACGGGTTGTGGCTCACAGGGGCAGGGAAAGCAATTCATAGCAGGGAAGCTCCTTCCTCTGGGAGGCACCAGCTGAGACCTGGTCCCCACCTCTGCCACCCATGCAGAGCTCACAGGAGGGTCTAAGAGAAAAAGGAGGTCGTGCCTTGTGAGTTGACTTTGAGCTATACAGAATGCCAGTTACACTTCTTAACAGATGGGGAAACTGAGGCTAGAGGGGTTGATGGTCTGAGAGAACTAGTGTTGTGTGTTCACTGGAGGGCACGTCCTTTCTTAGACCCCCTGAAGCCGGCCTGTGAAGTGCGAAGTGATTCCTCCCATAGAAACTCTTTTTACCTTCTGAGTTAGTCTCCCTTCTCTCTGTGGGCCTCAAAAAACAGCCAGAGCCACAGTCTTAGTGACAGGCATTTCTGCCTAGCTGGAGCAAGAGGGCCAGAGGCCTGGCATTTGGTGCTAGGTCTGCCTTGGCACCTTAAGGCCTCACCTAGACACTGAGGGTGAGCCATAGCTTTTGGACAATGGCCTCCTCACCTCACTACAGACCCCTCCGACCTCCTGGCAGGTGAGACCCATCTGTCTCCGGGTGGTGCTGGCCTTGCTCAGATCATTGACCCTTTCAGACTCATCCATCACTATGCCCTTTGCAGCTTTCCCTTGGATGCTCTTGCCCAGGGCGGTCACACCCTGCAACTGGACCCAGGCCTCCAGCGCTCTCCTAGACATTCGGTTGCCACATTCCTTTCCCCAAGTCTTTCTCACTCTGTTTCTTCTTGAATTCCCCGTCTTGTTTGTGCTTTCCTCAAACTCACGTCGCAAAGTCTCCTGGTCCACACACATTTATCTTCACAGCCTCTTCCTCTCTCAGCCTCCCCTCGTCTTCTCCATCTCCCTCCTTCATCTCTTCCCCTTTCTGTCCCAGTGTTTCTGTTTTCTGTCACCATCACCTTCTCCGCTCCCCCCTCCACCTCCGGTTACTCTCTCGTTCCTACCTCGCCATCCCGGGGTGTCCCTGGATCCCCGGCCCCACTCGCCTGCCCCGTCACCGAGCAGGGTCAGCCCAGCCAGCGCGCAGAGCAACAGCTGCATGGTTCAGAGCCACTGAGCACAGCTGTCTGTTGGTAGCAGCCTCCCTGGGATCGCGCCCGCCCGGCCCAAGGAAATGCAGTCCCAGCCAAAATTCCTGGGCGGCTCCAGGCTTCCAGTTCCAGAGGACCCGCCCCCTCCAGAAGCCCCACTGTACCCTGCAAGAAGGCACAGCCGGGAATCCCATCCCCAAGTCTACCTCTCCACCAAGGCATCCCGTCCAGCCCATCTTCCATCTCCACCCCAATCCCCAAACTTGGGACCCCAGCAACTTTGTGGCCAGCATGGGAGAATGGCTTCACTCACGAGACAACAGAGTCTGAGGGTCATGGCAGTCAAAGCCTGTGAATGTGTATGGATGAGTACAGAGGCTGAAGGAGGGTGTTAGATACCCTTGAGCTGGAGTTACAGGCAGTTGTGAGCCCCCCTGGTGTGGGTGCTAAGAAGGAAACCTGGGTGCTCTGAAAGGGCAGTAAGAGGTCTTAACTGCTGAGCCATCTCTAGAGTCACTGCAGCATCACATGCTGTATCAGCCACTGGAGCTGTTGCTGTTTACATCACAGTCCCTCTGTTAACCAGTAGCTCTCCCTTCTCATCTTCCTCTCTCCAGGAGGCAGTGGGCTCTGGCACAGAAATTCAGACCAGGAGTTATCAGGTGTGCCACCAAGACTTGTATCTAATTCATTAAAAACCCTAGCCTCCTGTTGGGGATTAGATGAGCAGGTTTAGGAGGAAGGATTTACCTCAGTTATGCCAAGAATTGTCTATACTTGCATAGGGCATTCCAATTTAGCTTAGACAGGCATGAAACTATAAAACAAACAAACAAACAAAAAACGTAAACCCATAAGGATTTTTGCAGCCAGTGGGGCTTTCTAATTGTTTTAATTTAAGATAAGAAAACACAAAGTCTGGCATGGTGGCATATACATATGTGTAATCCAGAATTTAAAAGTCTTAGGCAGGAGGGTAACAGGTCAAGGCCATACCAAATTACATAGTGAGATCCTGACTCTAAATAAAAAATAAAAAATAAAAATAATGAGTAACATATGAAATAGGTAATACAACACTGTCAAATCACAAAGTATGGGCCTATGTAACAAATCAGTGGGTAAAGATGTCTGTTGATCTGGGTTCAAATCCACATTGGGAAAGACCATGACCTTCACAAGTACCATGTGGTATTGTACACACACACACATACTCACACACAGAGAAAGAGGAATAAAAGGAATTAAATTAAAAACTAAATTAATTTGGTGAGTATGATGGCACACACCCCTTAATGCCAGAGGCAGGTAGATTTCTGTGAGTTTGATTTGAGCCTAGTCTACATAACAAGTTACAAGCCAATTTAGGCTACATAATTAAACCTAGTCCCCCCCAAAAAAGTATTTTGTTTTTTACATTTATATTTACCTCAGTTATGTCATTAGATGTTGGAAAGCCACTGAAGACTTGGAAAAAATCCATAGAAATGAGTACCATGACACTCATTTAGTTCTTTCTAAGAGTAGCAAAAGGAGAGATGGATTAGTGTTAAACACTCCTGGTGCTCTTTCAGAGGATCTGAACTCCCAGCATGCACGTCACGGCAGCTCACAACAGTCTGTAACTCCAGTTCTAGGGGATGCCGTCTTCTAGATTCCAGGGGTATTGCGCATACATGCATACATGTACACACAGGCAAAACACCCATTCACAGAAAATAGCATTAAAAATAAATAAGTAAAATGAAAAAGAAAGCACCCAGGAATGGATGTGTAATTATTTACCTACTTATCTTAACTAATAGACATGTGGTCATTGGTTTCCTACATTATGAAATACTATTTTCAAAATTATAGCCAGGTGGTGATGGTGTAGGCCTTTAATTCTAACTCTTGGAAGGCAAAGGAAGGTGGATCTCTGTGAGTTCAGAGCTAATCTGGGCAGTCAGGACCATGCAAAGAAACCCTGTCTTGAACCCCCCCCCCAAAAAAAAAAAAACCCAAACCCAAAAATAGCAAGAAAAAAAACCCTATAAAAGTGTTCAGTGTATGTTGCATGTGTGAAGTTGATGGCAGAAGTCAGAAGTTGGATTCCCCTCCTCACCAAACTGGAGTGGTCAGCCAGTTGTGAGCAACCTCCTGTGGGTGCTGGGACTAGAGCTCAGGCCCTCTTATCCACTGAGCCTCCTCTCTAGCCCATGACACAAGCTTGATTAATATTCAGTTTCTAGTACCAGATGCTAAAGGGTAATTTGCCAATCAATATTTTAATGTTTATTTTCTGCTGTAAAAGGCCAGCAAGGAGGAGGGCTTTTTCCACCCTATGCTAGAGAGCACGATCTTTCCAGCGTTTCTTTTGTTGTTTGTTTGTTTGTTTGTTTGTTTCTCTGTAGCTTTCGAGCCTGTCCTGGAGTTCACTCTGTAGACCAAATTGGCCTCGAACTCACAGAGATCCTCCTGTCTCTGCCTCCCAAGTGCTGAGATTAAGGGAATGCACCACCACCCGGCTCAATTTTTTTTTTAATTAAAAATTATTATTATTTGCTTCTTTGAGGCAGGGTTTCTCTGTGTAGCCCTGGCTGTCCTGGAACTTACTCTGTAGACCAGGCTGGCCTCGGATTCAGAGATCTGCCTGCCTGTGCCTACTAAGTGCTGGGATTAAAGGCGTGTGCCACAACCTCACAACAAAACTTTTAAAATTATTTTTAATGATGTGTCTTTGTGTGGGTATATGTACATGAGTGCTGGTTCTGTCAGAGGCAGACCTGTCAGATCCCTCTAGAGATAGGGGTTACCGGTGATTGTAAGCCACCTGATGTGTGGGGAACAGAACTTAGCTTCTCTTGAAGAGCAGTGGGTGTTCCTAACTGCTGAACCATCTCTCCAGCCCCAATTTAAAAATTTGTATGTATGTGTGTCTGCAGTGCCCACAGAGGCCAGAGGAGGGTATCCCCTGGAACTAGATATGGATGCTAGGAACTGAACTTAGCTCCTAACCACTGAGCCATCTATTTCCACAGCTCCCCAAGAAGAGGTGAAAGAGACAAAACATTGCTAGTGGTAGAAGATCTGCTTGTTCTCTCACAAAGTGCAGCAGAACTAAAATGACACCAATCACTTCACATACTGGCAACACTGCAGTGCTTGGAAAGTCATTTTACTTCCTCACCCACAGATGACAGCCCAAAGACACAGAGGGACAATAACAAGACAGTAGTACACACTACTAAGGTCCACCTTCAGCATTCTCCAGAAATGAGCAACTGACATTGAAAACAGGTGGGCATCCATGGATGGGATACACTAGGCAGTGGCTGGCTGGGCAGCAGAGCACATGTGCAAGCTGGCTGGTGGTAGTAGTAGGTGCCATCGTTCCTTATTAATTCTATCATTTTCTCACTGTCTTCTCTGAACACAGCTGAGGCTGCACAGCTCTTAGCACCACTGAGGCAATCAGTAGTTATGTTCTCTGCTTCATCGTTTGAACTCTGGGGCCGTAGGAGAATCACCAGTCATTGAGAGGATGTGTAGGAGGGGACAAGCAAGTGGGGTTATTTGGTGGTTGGCAATGGTGAGTGGGTCTTGTACAGTTTGGGTACCCTCGTGGCCAGCCACAGAGGGAAGAGCTCTTTATAGAAGAGCTACCCCATCCTGGAAAGTTCCTGCCAGGTAACACAGAAACCCACATAGAGTGGAATGTGAGGCCCAGAGAACCTAAGTAGTGGCCAAGGTATGCCATTCTTGGGACCCAGTTTTCTCCAATGTCACCTCAAGCCATGCACGATACAGCCTATTTTTGGAACTCCTCAGCCTGGGCTGCTGGGGGACACATGTCTGGCAGGGGCTTATTCTCCTTGCTCATGGCCAAAGGCAAGGAGCCAAGGGAAGCATGAAATAGAGGCTGGCTGGACTTCTGGGCATAGTGGTTGGGCCAGGGGGTCTGTCCAACCAGAAGAACCCTCAGTGGATGGGGGGGTCTGGAACGAACAAAGCCTTCTTGTTTTCTGCTTTTGGCACTAAACAAGGATTTCCAAAGCCACAGGGAGGCCTGGGCTAGGAAAGCCCTTCTTGATGCAAGGAACAAGGCCAGTTTCTCTGTGCACAAGTGGAAGACAGCTGCTGGTCCAGGGCTCACCTAATTAACAGTCAGAAAAGGTGTTACTAGGTTGGCACAGACATTTCTGGTGGGTTGAGAAAAGAAAGCAAAAGACTTGAAATACTGAAATTTAGCACTTTCAAAAATAATTATTTAAACCAGGCATTGGTGGCACTCGGGAGGCAGAAGCAGGCAGATCTCTGACTTTGAGGCCAGATTGGTCTATAGAGCAAGTTCCAGGACAGGCTCCAAAGCTACAGAGAAACCCTGTCTCAAGACTGCCCCCCTCCAAAAAATTATTTGTTATATTATTTTGAGACAGAGTCTCTTGTAGCCCAGGCTAGCTTTCAACTTGTTACGTTGCCAAGAATGACCTTGAACTTCCGGTCCTCCTGCCTTCAGTTCTGGGATTATAGATGTGCTCTACTTTGTTTATGAGGTGCTGGGGATTGAATCCAGGACTTTGTAAATGCTAAACAAGCACTCTACTTACTGAGCTACAGTCCCAGATGTCCCTGTATCCCTAACATTCCCAGGAGGGAGGAGGTAGAGGAAGATGAGGCAACCTCCTTAGTGCAGGGAATCAAGTAATGGAGGGGTGAGGGGAGAGGTGAATGCTAACAGTGGTGTGGTACCTGCAGGCTCAGCTCTGGGGTGCTCACACACAAGGGATGCCACAACAGAGATGCTAATCATCACAAACATGGCATTCCCCAGATGTTCCAGGATCCTCTGTAGAGATTGGAAGCAGCTGGCATTCCTCAGCCCTAACCCTCAGAGAATGTTCTCTGGAGCACTCTTTGGAAAGATGATCTCATTTATGTCACAATTAAAAAAAAAAAAAAAATTAGTGTCTGCAGACAATGTGTGGATGACCATTTGAAGAATCTGAGTTAGTTTCTGTTAGCAATGGATGTGAGGAGTTGGAACTGAATG